CGGAAATTCACGAAAACAAGAACCATCGAAACGATGAACTTCAAAGCATGCTGTATCGCGCATCAGCCGATATGCACTGGCAATTTTTTACGATAAAGCCTTGGATGCAAGAAAATATAGCAGTGATCGTCTTATTTGATGACTGTGACATATAGATACATTTTTTGCGAATTTAGGAATGATTAAAAAAAGACTGTAGTCTGTGAGATAAAAATTTGATAGATTTCCACGAAGACTAGGAGTTATATTCGATATTTTCGCCAAGGGGAATACACATGCAAATTTTTCACGATAACTCGCGATATCCTTGGATACAAGAAAAAATAGCAATAATCTTGTTTAATGATTGTGACATATAATGCCTTTTTTCGCAAATTTAACAATTTTAAAAATTTATATAAACTCTATAAGGTAAAAAATCGATAGATTTTCACGAAGACAAGGAAGATAAGGATTAAAAAATCTGCATATATTAATCTGTAAGATAAAAATTCGATAGATTTCCAGGAAGACAAGGAGTTATATCCGATATTTTCGCGAAGGGGAATACACGTGCATGGAAAATCCTGGCGAAATCGAAAGAGATGGAAGAGACCGCAGTGTGCGGTGAAACGCGTGATCGCGAGGTTGATGAACCACTCGCGCCTGTATACATAGCGTCAAGAAGTTTTATCGCCGGTGAATTTTCATTGAATTTCAAGCCGTGTCGCGCTGGGCGGGCTGGAGCGAATTCAAATAGCTGCGTGTTATCGCCTCGAATCGATACCAACGCGGCGGTTCGATGCGCCACATCCTCCTCCCTCTTTTCCGCAGGCATAAATCTCCTCCCGTTTCGCCTCTCTGGTTCGTCGCCGTTGTCGGACGCGCTCTTGTAAATCGGCGTCTTTACAAACTAATTCCACCCCGGTGTAAATGGTCGCGTCGCGAACGAAATTACAGAACAGCTCCTGTCACGTGCGCGCGCGCAAGATCGTGACGTTTTATTTCCGCGCGCGAACTCTCGCGACGAGGCTGGCCAGAAATACGCGATCGTGTCGCGGCAAATGCGCGATATCGTCCGAGAGTTTACCCGCGATGACTAATGACGTTAGGAAATTGAACCCGGCTGGCGGTCTCGCAGATGCAGGCCTCGGAAAGAAGAGAATAGCCGAACGAAGGGAGAATATAGTACTGCGATTCCCTTTCTCCCGAGAACTCAGGCAGACGCCGATTCAATTTTCCGGCATCATTTATTTACGCGCGGTTAACGGCAGGCGGACAGGTAGGCAGGCACAGGCATAATCGAACAAATAAATAACAAAACATGCGCGGGATTAATCGAAGCAAGAAGCATTTTCCACCTCGTTTGTAGCCCGCCGTCTCCGGGCTCTATAATCATCGTTATCTGATGAAAATCCATTTTTCCATCTTCTCTCACTTCCCGGATGTAAATTGGTAAGACAAGCCTCGGCAGAAGACTGATTTTTACGCTACTTTACTCTTTATATAACGATGTTATTACGTAATAGTATAATAAATATCGATCAAGTATCGTACAATAATAACCGTGTTTTTACACGAGTGCATACACATTTATTATCTTTATATAACGTATGAAAGATGAATGAAAAATGTGTTTTTCTTTGTAAACTTATTTAAAAATTGATTTCGAAAAGTAACTTTAGATTAATTTTTTAGAAAAAGATCGACAAACTCTATCGCATTGCATAGATAAGGATTAACATGTTCAGTGCCGGTGACGGTGATGAATATGCTAGTTTTGCACGCAAACACTTTACTGATATTGTACTGCAGTCAACTACGAGGTGAAGACACATTAGCGAAAGCACCTGATGCCCAATTGCTTGAAGGCTAACCTGAAACAGTGTTACTGATTAACAGTACAATTTCACGTTATACATGATCGATTAATCTTTTCAAGTGCTGTACATTTATTTTTACACTTATCTATAAACGAGAGAATAATTATAATTCACTAAAGATTTTTAAAAAATTTGAATTTAAGAATTGACAATTGTCTTCTTATACGAAAAAATTAATAAGTTTTAATATGTTAAAAAATGTTTGATATTTTATAAAAGTATTCGCACAATACTCTTTATCGAACAAAATTCGCTACTTTTTTTTTAGTGTCTCTTATCCTCCACTAGTATTGGCAAAATAATTTCTTACGCGTCTCAGAATTAGCGTGCGTCATTAGAACGAAAGGTTACAACGAAAGAAGCCAATTTCGTCACGGGGGTTGCGTGACGTAGCTCGTATAAACTCGCGTAAATGCACTTCCTGAAGCGCATCGGCGACGAGAAAATTGAAATTTCACATAGCGAAATGCTTTTCTGCGCGCACCAGCTGGCTGAAGCGTCGACTAAGAGCTTTCGCTGCGAAATGTCTTCCGCTCGTTAACGAGCTAAACGAGAAGAAACGCGCGCGCGAAAAAGGACTGAGCCTCCCGGACGCGATGAGGTGGCGACGAAGAGTAGTTAAGCCCGATGCTTTCCTGAGCTTCTCTCTTTCTGGGGTGAAAATTCCAGGTTGGGAACGCGGTAATACCGAACCGGCCAAATGGCGGACAGCTAATCCGATCGTAATAATATAGCGAAATCTCGTCGTTATATACCTTCGACGAGAATGTATCGCGACATCGCATCGCGAACATGTTACATTTAGAACATTTGCCTCCCTTTTTGGAATCTGTAAAAAAAAAGTTAAGCATTTACTCTCCTTTTGAGTAAACATTGGAATTTATTTACATATTTAATATAAAAAAATTAATTGTTTAAAATAAAAAAAAATAAAAAATAATTATGCCTCCTGGAAAAAATCCTGCGGACGCCCATCGAACGATTTTTTGCAATTAGCAAATATATATATATATATATCTTCTCACGTTTGAAGTCGACAATTTTCACCGACTGGACTTACGAAAATCCGAACGAGTGCTTTTTCCCTCGTGGTTGGTGCAATGGCCAATTCTGTCAAGTGGACTTTTTGCCGAGGCTAATCAAGTTAATTGTAACGGCGAGAGCTATATATATATCACCGCGAACTTTTCTGCTATAATAATAAAGCCGCGCGAGATGCCACGTTATATAAGTGAGATTGTAGGAAAGACTATTATCTTTTTATGTAGCGAGAGAGAACTTGCTACAATATTGTTCGCTTACATATTTTTAATCTTACGAGAAACATTTTCCTTTACATTTTTGTACACAAGTATTTTTTTTTTTCTCTATAACGCGATGCCACATGATGGAGCGAGTATTACATCAAACCATCTTCCCGAGCAATAAAATTATCTTTCGCAAGCATAGCGGATCGCTTGACGGTAGCTATCGACGTGTCAGCATCGTGTCTAGCGATCGTTGCCGACGTTTGCGATTTTGCGACAAGAGAAGAGAAGGATATAACCGCGATGATCGGGGATCGGAGGAAAAGTTTGGAGAGCGAGCGATGTTTTAAGATCTTCATAAACCTCGGTGACCGTCGCATTTGCATGGCAAAGGCTCTAATTTCGCGAGGAAGAGCTCGATTGAAATTGAAATGCACGGTTGCAAGCCCGAACCGTTCTCGGATACTACGAATATCGCTTTTCCCGTGACAATGACAAGGCTTCAACACGCGTTTTATTCGAATAGTAATAGCTCACGTTTGGCAAAAGTGCCGACGAATGCAACAACTCCCGCGTAACGCGATGAAGAAGGGAGATCGATTGTGTCGACAGTTTGCGCTTTCGAAGCAGATGCAATTCTTTTATTCGCATTCACCGTGGATAAACTCCGATATGTTCCAGGTAACAGATTTGACTGCGCCGATATTTTCAATATCTGTCGCTAGAAATTCTCATAGCATTATTCTTTTTATAATTCGAATGTTCAATTTGTCAGTTAGATTAAACGAAATGAGAAAAAGATATATGCACACAAATATTTGTTTAAATATATTCAATAGAGTTATTAATGTTTGAAGTAGCATAAAAATGCTGGATGAAAAATCTCTGCCCTAATTGGGATAGCGTAGTGATTCAAGCACTGGTAATGTAACGTGGAAATAATGTAAATGACCGTATTAGTAAATGATAATGAATAAAGTTCATTACATGACGTTTCCCTCCGATACAGCGTATTATTTTGCGTAACCAACGCGCGTCGAGCGATTTTACGAGAATTTTACGCAATTACAAGAAATAAACCCGCACGTATTGTATGCGGCCCCCTTCCCTCCAAAATACATCCCGTTACGCCACAGTAGATGCAGTTTAACGATATTTTAATTAATGTTTTGTTGTAATTAAATTAAATAATTAAATCGGTACGCGACCGGAAGCCGAGTGTGTGCATTTGCGCGACGCGAACGGGAAAATTTCCGAACATTAAAACCGTATACATTGGACAGATAACGGTCCGTGCCAGTTAATTACGCGTAGCCATGATGCGTATTTCCGGTTTCATTAAAAATGCGCTATCGCATTTAATCCGTGTGTTTTTTGCCGCGCGCACAATTTCCATCTTGCTCGCGACTGACTTCGTTTTATCATGCTAATATGCGCATATTACTAGGACGCTGGAGAGAGAGCAGATGAGAATTTTCACCTCAACTTTGGCCGGCAAAACGAACTTCGCACGATGTTCTTCGTAAACATCGTACGTCGACGCATACGACGCAACTTTCCAAATTTTTACGCCAGAGCCGAGTCGCCGATGCAAAATGCATCGCGAACTTGGCTTTCCTCGGAAACGGCCGTTCTCGCGCTCAACTTTACACGTTTTGTTCGCCGCAATTTTTTTGTGTGCGTTTCTCCTTCCATAATATTAACTTTTTTATATTGAATTTCTTAAACATGCTTCAAAATTTTTTTCATCAACACTTAATGACAAATAATAATAATAACGTCCCGCAAAACTTGCGACGTTTACAGAATCGCGAGATATTGTGACAAAATATTTCGGTGAAGATGTTGGCGGACATATAATAATAATATCGCATAATTTCTCTGATTACAGCGACAGCGGCATGGCCGCGGCAGGAACAGCCCTGTCCGATGTCAGGAGATTTTTGCATGAACGGTGGTACCTGCCTATTTTTCGAGACCGTCGGTGAACCGGCATGCAGGTGAGTCGTTATTTTATAAAGGTTTCCATGTAATCTATTTTAGTGTATAAATTATGTGTGTTGAAAAATTTTTGGGGAATTTTAAAGCACTTTTAAGAAATATTTGTTCATCGTTGTGTAGAAGAGTTAGATATTTTTTCGTTAAAAATAATACATGGATGTCTGATTATACATAGTCCTTTATCACTAACTTTTTATACAAGATGAAAAATATGAAAAGTTCGTACATTATCAAAATGTCTATTAAAAATGGGAACGATGTGTCTTTAAAAAAACTATTACGTGAGTAAAATTGAATTTCTTTTAAATATATAACGAATTCTGTGCCATTGTTTCGAAAGAGAAAATTGCGAATCACGAAAATCGTCTCGATACAAAAGAGAATCGAATTAAATTTATTTTTTTTTTTAAACGAAAATAGAAAATGGAAGTGAAAACTCACAGATATGAATGGTATAAATGACGAGATAAATCCTTTTACTGTATTAAAATCGAGCAATATATTAAATTCTCTAAAATGTATGTATGTATGTAAAATCCATCAAATGTAGAGTGAAATACGTTTACATATTTGTCATGTACCGCATTTTGTGAATTTACCACGAATTTATCTCACTGGATTTAACTTGTTTTAGATTATCACTTTTCAATTGAACACTCGCAAAATTAAATGACCAATAATCGTGTTGTGACCAATAATAGTAACGCAACAACAATATTTTATTCGACTTTATTTGCGGTTTATTCGCATCAGAAATAAAGTATCCATTAATCCTAAATTACGTACATCCTGTGTATATACTTTTTAACTTAAAATAATCTTTTCTTTTCGAAAAGCAACGAAATCCAACTTTATTGAGAAATCGGAAAACCGTAGATTCTCGTAATTATCGAGAAGATTACGGTGCCAATTTGTGAAAAGCGTACGTAGCGTTGCCCGATGCTGAGAGAAAGGAATTAAAATAATTATATAGGATAAATTGATTAAATTGCAGTGATATATAATTTTCTATCGAATAATAAGGTTGATTTTTATTCAACGAAATTATACGCCTCAGAAGTTCGTGTATGAAAAGATATTGAAAATACAAAAGAAAAAATTTCTCGTGAAAATCCAGCTTAAAGAAAAAAAATCGATAACGAACCATTTTTCAATTAATTTTATGCAGATTTTATTTCAAACATTTCTAATTTTATATTCAATGTTAGAGAGATATTTAATACGAAAATTTGTGACGATGTGATAATAATGGCATTTTATTTAGTGAGATAAAATTGACTTCAAATTTGGCTAGATATCCATTAGTGAATTATGACATCTTGATTTGAAAATCTAGCTTAAAGAAAAAAAATCGATAACGAACCATTTTTCAATTAATTATATGCAAATTTTATTTCAAACATTTCTAATTTTATATCCAATGTTAGAGAGATATTTAATACGAAAATTTGTGACGATGTGATATAATGGCATTCTATTTAGTGAGATAAAATTGACTTCAAATTTGGCTAGATATCCATTAGTGAATTATGACATCTTGATTTGAAAATTTTGTCTAAAGAGAAAGAGGTAGGTTTTTAAAGAGAACGGAAAAGGGCGAGAAAGCGTTTTGCTCACACCGACGTCTCTATTCGAAGGCGCACGAGAAATCGAGCTTGCGTTTCTCCCTTTTGTGCGGCCATCGAGTTACTGGCGGCAACCGCGAGGTTTCACGAAATGTTTGCCGTCGATTGTGCTCGAAAGGTCGAAGTTCGACAGTCGACAGGAAGCGCGAAGGCTAGGTCGCTCTCTATTTTTCTCACACCGGTACACATCGAAGAGCGATCTTCTCGTTTGTTTTCTGGACACTTTTTCTCCTAGGCATTCTTATTTCCTTCTGCCATCCTTCTACGCAGGATACTATTCTGTCAAGAATAGATATTTCCTATAGATTTCTCTCTCCATATCATTCTTGCGTTCATTCTTCCTTCGAGTACCTCTCTCAACTATCGTCTATGTTCTTTTCTTTATCTTTCTCTCGCTTTAGTCTCTCCGTTTCGATAAAAATCTCGCATTTTCGTAAAACCTTCTCGCGGACCATTGATTTTCCGTTATTTCTGTTTACTTTCCTTTTAATCCGTGTTTCTATTACACGTAATTAGAGTGTCTTTGAATTTTATCTCGGTCGTTCTACAGATCGCTTTCTCGTTATTTCTCGCGTTCTTTCATTGTTGGAAAATTTATATAACAGATATTTTTCCCTCCTTTTGTTAGGATAAAATGGTTAATCTTTCGGAATTGTATTTCTCTTGTATTTGTAAACACACACACATACTAATATTTTTTTTTTTATAAACGCAATTTCACAATGAAGTGCAACGAACGCTCGAGGTACGCAATTTACCCTTTAAAGATTGGACTATTGACTTTTCTGCAATCGTCGACCTCAATATTACGGTTGACCCAACGTGCGCAAAACGTTCGAGTCCCCGGTAAATTTTCCGAAACGGTCCGAGCCTTACTTTCATCGCTTTTTTTCGTTCATCGAGCGGTGCTTTCGAAAATTAAATTTCTTGACGATTCCACCCTCTCCCCTTCTCTTCTTCCTTTTTTCGCCGCGTGTATCAAATTGATCGGCACCGCCGCGTATAGCCGAGTATCCATTTAATTAAAAAAGTTTGCTCGCGAAATGTTTCCCCCGACCGGACTTTCCAGCCGGTCGCAATACGTTCACGTCCGGCTCATTTACGCAAACGCGCACACGAATGTTGATTTGTCAGAAATTTCAACTGTGCGACACCGATGATGCTTTCGACAGACTCGTCGGGTTTTTCGCGGCATTAAATGGGTCATATAGTTGGAAACAAAACGAGATATGTAAGTCCTATACTTCGTTTTTTGTAATTCCGTGCAAGTCATGTTGCTGGAAAATTCTCCGTTTGCATCTCCGAATGCGGAAAATCTTGCAGAATGCGAAATAAGATGTAGAACATAATTTATAGGCTACGCGAAAGCAAGGGAGATTATCTTGTATTTAAAAAAAAAAAGACGAGATTTATAGGTAAAATAATAAAATAAAATAATGTAATCCAATCTGAGTTTTTCTCACATAATTTCTAGTTTTCAAACATTCAACATTTTTATAGCCTTAAATAAAAAATTCTATATAAGTGAAATCCACTTCCAAGAAATTAGAACGAAGAATAAAACCTCTTTCTAAACTTTATACAATTGAACTTCGAAATCCATACTTGCACTCGGGTTCCTTTATTTATATTTGAATTTACTCCCTGACCCTTACAATTTTTTCTGTAAAACCGATGGAATTTCAAAGAAGTGAAATTCTCGATTTCGATAAGCGAAGGAGTATACATGGCCGCGATCTGTCGCGAAATGTCACGCCGATACCGCACAGCATCCAGTTTATCGCGACTGTGTTTTATCGCGCGGCACCGTCAATCCTCTCGGCTACTTCCGGCACAGAGTCACGCAGAGAGAGAGAGAGAGAGAGAGAAAGGGAAAGAGAAGCAAATGTAAACTTTTTCGCGCCGGCCGGCGACGCTCGTAAATCTCGCCTCCGGGGTGGCAACTCGCATCCCCCTTCGTTCTCAACCCCATACCATCTCCCACCACTTGTGTTGAGTGTCCCGCTTTCTCGTTTGTTTCCGTTAGGTGATTCCCTCCTTCCCCCTCGACTTGTTAACTTTACGTTCTTACCACTTACGGCCAAATTGCCGTATAAAATATGTGCCGTGACGACAAGGCAACCCCTCTGCATACCACAAGCTCTGTGTGCGACGAGCGAGCCTTGCTACGTGTGATAGTTACTCCTCGTTGTATACTCCTCTTTTTTTTTCTTGGCTTTCGCGTGTAATTAATGTCGCCCAAGCGATCACTTCGTACGTCTCGTTAAAATTAGCGTTAATGCCCGAGAGAGTTTTATTAAACTTTATTGAACAATGCGTAAGAAGCTTATTTCGTGGGAACTGTCAACTTCTGCCTTTCTCTCTTTCTCTCGTATTAACAATCTAAATCAAACTCGGAGCATAGCAATTGTTTTTATGAGATGACAAAATTGATATGAAATATCAATCATTTTTATATTTTTTCAAGAGAATCGAATTAATGAAAAAACTACGTAAATAAATTAAATCTTGTTTTTCAATTATTCATTTTGAATAAAATGTGTCAATTGGGCGATAAAAATATTTATAGCATTCAAAATTAAAATATTGCTTGATTCGAGAAAGGGGAATGAATAAAATATAAATAAAATTAATAAAAATTAATTAAATGTTTGCAATGTCTATGCTAAATTTGACAGGCAGTTCGATATCTGTAGCGAAATTTTGGAAACTGTTATCGTGCTTCAAAAATAAAGGAAAAAAAGAAAAAGAGAAGAATATTGCAACTGCAACGTAATCCGCATATTCAGCGACACGGCACATGTATTACGTACATGTGCACATACGCTATTCGGAGTACTACTATACAGCGGCGCTGTTGTTCGAATTGCATCAGATCACCCGTCACGTCTGTAGTTGTCAAGGCAGATTTAAAACGGATGGGGCCAGCAGTAATTCGGTCAAACGTACCGAGATTGGACATGCAGGCGCGACAATAAAACCAGTGGTGGATTTGCAAATATAAAACTTTAAAAATGTGCGCAAAAAAAAAATATTATTCGACAGAAATATTCATTAAAGAACTTGATTATTACATTTGAATGGAAAATATTTCAAGAGTAATATAATTCTATTTATTGAAGCATACGCGAGTGTGAAATCTCGTCAATTTTTAATTATTAAATACGAAAACATAAATAGAAAAAACGATTATTATTCATTGATGAAAGCTAGTCTTTGTTGAAAGTTTAAATGTAATAAATTCTATCTGTAACCATAGAAAATAATATTTTTATCCGCGATAAGGCTTTTAAATTATCCCTGGTCAGTACCAAACCGAGCGATCAATCACTCCCCCACATTCTCATGTCTATAGCGGTGACATGAAAGATAAA